TTTTTCACTCGGCTATGGCCGTACATGCTAGATGGTTGCCTTGTTTTAAATTATGAACCAAGGGTCAAAGCATGCGTGCCATGGAAGCGGCGGTTCGACATGTGCGCGGGCCAAGCTGTGCGTAGTGCAGTATTAGTACTGACTTGGTAAATTTGTCAATTCAGTAGATTTTCTGATACGAGAGACATTTCTTTCCTCATGATTTCTCAGTGGAGGCTAGGGTGGCTAAGTCTATTGACGAAAGTGATCGCCTTGAACACTTTGGTGCACTGTAACTTGGCCGACAAGTGGGTGGCAGATAATGAGGTTAGAATAGGTTATAATAATGATGTAATCTTCATTGTCATCTTCAATTTCTCATCTCTTCATTGCTCTCTACTTACCTTGACTCACCCCCCTCTTCATCGGTATGTATAGGGCAATCTTTGCTTATCAGGATAATTACACGCTATTGGCTACGCTATGTACCTCCTGGCCGTGTAAGTGGCGGGATAGTGTCAATTACTGGACGCCAAACAGACAAGACCAAGCCAGTGCTAGTGATGGCGCAATACGAAATCCATAGTTTGCAATAGCCCTTTTTACCAGTTCTTCCGATCTGATAAGATGCGGAACCTCACTTGCCAGAAACACAAGACGATCTTTTTGCGCAGAGGCAGATCAGTGCAGTCACATCATAGAACCGAATTCAAAAGAAAAAGAAAAGCCGATATATGCCGAAGGATTGCAAATACGCGCTTTAGTTTCTTCCTCGCGTCTAGAAGAATGCAGCTGCGACCTGAGGTACGAACCTCCGACTCCTCGCAACAGCGAGCAAGGCAGCTCCGCCACCGTGGAGAATATAAAAGACCTTTCGTTGTTTTCGCGGTAATGTAAGCGTGGTGTTCCGGACGGGCGATCTACCGTAAGGTAATAGGCAACTGTGTTGTAGTGACTGGTTACGCGAAAAGCGCCCGGCTTTGTGGGTGAAGGGATGCATGTTTCACACAGGCCTCAAATAGTTTCCGAGTTTCTTGGAAACAAAAGTGAGGCACAATGGACTGACCGAAAATTAGTGAATTATGAGATAGGAGTGTCGCGTTGAGAAATCCTTAATTAGCAATAACCCTTGACTGATCTCTTTCGTGACGTAACAAAGGTGCGGCTCGAAGTGATTTCAATGTCTATTCACGCCACATCCACACCACCTTTCTTTTGGTGTGTGGCAACCCGTACTGGAAACAGCGAACAGAGAGTCCGCGCCTGGGATGTTGGTTTCTATCGGCAGTGGTAAATAGTTTCGCGTGAGGAGGCTGCCAAGCTGCATGGCTGCACACCGTCGTTACAATGCACAACTCATCGACAGCGGCGCGTCTGTTATTTTCTTTTTTTCTTTCCTTTTTTTTCTTTTTCTTATCTATTCTACTGCGAGAGAGTGAAGATGGACACATCATGGCTGCACATAACGCTACGAACCACGAAGTCTGCGGCCATCACATGCGTCAGGCAGTTCAACTGCATCAACGCTACGTAATCGCCGCCCCGACTGAGCCCATCGACCACAGGGCGCAGCTCCAGCAAAACTGTCGTTGAATACCGGCGTTACTTGTTGTCTGACATATCAGTGACAATCTTGATTCCCAAAAACCCGTCAACGACTTTATCGCCTCGCTGGCTGGTTAGTTGAATGGTTCGTCATTGACCCCAGTGTGTCTCGGGCACTACCAAGCCGGCGACTAGCGAGTCTGGATGGCGATAGTGAGCGTAATGGATGACCGCAGCGCGACCTCATCAAATTGCAGGCATTCGCCCCTCGAGAGCTATTGAACGCGCATTTGATGAAATTGACATGACAGTGGGCGCCACCAGCATCCTGGCTATAAATGGGAAGCGCGCCAATTCAACGTGGGCATTTGAGTTCTTCTCACAACCATACTCTTTGCTATACAAAGTCTCATCTTACAAGCTTATTGAAAGAGAATACGCCAAGCAACACGTCAATATGAGCTCGCAGACTAGCCAGGGAATCTCCCACGCCACCGGAAACTCCAAGGTCCCTCAGTCGGCCCAGGAGAAAGTACCCAAGGACGTCGAACAGAGTCTTCCCGACTCCGTAAGTTGGCAAAAGAAATGTTCAGGGTGGCTCACTATAGACAGTTATTGACCGAACATTCAGGTTCATCCCACGTCATCGGGTCCTGGCCAATCTACCAACAAGTCACACGCCAAAAACGGTGGTGATGCTTCCATCGTGCCCCAGAAGCTCCAGGAAAAGCTTCCCGAGAGCGTTGAGCGGGCCGTTCCAAACGTCATTCATGATACTGGCGACAAATAGGACCAGTAAATAGCGACGAAATCGGGGGCAAAGACTTTCTTCCGTTGATGGTCAAAGTCAACTACGGAACTGTCTCTATACCCATTGGCTGCGTTGTATTAACATGCTGCAATCCTAGCTAGGGCGCTCGAGAAGACTTTTTGCTTGAATAATGACCGATTGAGGATTTTTATATAAAATAACGAAAGTTTTAGCCGCCATGCGGCATGCCACATCGCACTTTTAATTTTGCATCTTCTTAGTCTGTGTTGCATCTCCTTACAACCAGTAGCGAAACTGATTAGCCGCAAGTGATCAATATCTCAGACAAGCAAGCCCAGGGTGTATTCATAAAGCGCTGTAGCTCGCAATGTAGAGCATGGAGACTTTGCCACACTCAAGAGTAAAGGTAGTGCAGGAGACTGTAGTTTGTCGCGCAGCCGTTTCCACCATCGCACCATTATATCTGCTTGGAGTCAGTGCCACCCTTGATATTAAGAATCAGGGGCTTGCAGTAGCCATTGGTATCCCGTTCGCCGAAAGCGCGTATTGGTTGAGACTTCAGCAGAACGGTAACCTCGACAGAATATTGGAGGCCCGTCTCCCAATACTTGAGGCAAGTTGAAGGAGATCCTCTGCCCGCATAAATCGGACAAAACGTCAATGTCTCTCTTTGTTCTTGTTCTTCTTACATTTTGTCTTCTTCGAGTGTGGAGGGGATGACCTCTTTGCGATTACTCTCTTGGAGCAGTCTCTCTCTTTCTTCCGCGGTGGATGGAGGAACGACGGCGCAAATCGCGCTACTCCTCCAGGCGTCGAAGATGTGTGCATTATGGCGGCCTGCTGAAGATTGGCGCTGGAGAACCGCACCAACGGCCAAAAAAAAAAAAAAAAAAGTCTCACAGCAATAGAACACGAAAAATAAGTCTGGAAAAGAAGGCAGTCTTCAGGAAGTGTGTGGGTGACTAACATTTGGTGAGAGATACCGGTACTAGTTGTTTCTCCTTCCTGCCAGCCCAGCGCTGTTTAGAACTTGAAGTAGTTATAATGACCGTGAGATTGCCGCAAGCACAACAAGGCCAGCGGTGGCGAGTGCCGATGCCGGACGAAAGGTCAGATTCTGATCGAATGCCACACCTGCACGCAGCCAGAGCGATCAAGCTTGAACGGAAGAGCGTTGGAAATGGACAAAGTACAAAAGGCATGTAGAGATAGAGATAGAGTGATTACTACTGATCCCTCGCAACTACTATGTACCACGAAAATACCCAATGCGGACCGACTGGCTCCCACGCTTTATTTCGGCCTATATTGGCTTGGTTCTGCTCGAAATAGTCGAGAGCATCCTGTCCAGCCTGCTCCGATCATGTTTTCTTGTTTCCCTTGTCCCCTTTGGTTCTTTTGTTCCCTTGCTTTGTCCGCCAGTTGCTCCCTTGACGATCTTGGCAAGACCGGTCGCTATCTCAGCACCACATCACACCTGGCTCGTTTCTGGAAAGAATCGGCCCTGTTCAATTGCACCAAACTCTTGAGGCTGGCTGATCTCGCTGAAACGAATCAACGCATTCTTTCCACATTGCGCAAGCACTTACAGAGGCAGGCCCCGCCGTACCTGTCACCAAGAATAGTGTGACATCAAGTCATGTCCATGCAGGGGCAGCCTTCCGCACACATGCTGAGCATATGTTAGTATCCCGAAAAAGACAGAACCAAAAGCGTCTGAGTCTGCTACAATCACATTTCCATTGTCCATCTGCGGTGCTGAACTTGAAGTTGCAGATTCCGCCCTGCTCAATAAGTAGAAGATGCGAAACCATATCAGTGGACGTGAACGCGGAGTGAGTAGTAGGAGATGATGAATCTCTAATAGTCACTGGCGGGCATGTAACCAAGTCTACATTATCGTCAAGAGAGATTGATACTTGTTAAGGCTTTCCAGTTGCGTTTTGAAGGAAGATACTGATTCGATCAGCGCAAATAAAGCATCCACTCAGCTGCGTGTGTGATGAACCGGAATCGGGCCCAGTCCTTCAAGTTGATTCCAGTCCTCTTCTCCCTGGTCATACTTGTAACACTGAAGATTGGAAGAGTTTTCAACAAAGGTGATGCAGGAGATCTTACACTCTGTGTATATGGTGCGATTGTGGAGAAACCCGAGATCAAGTCAAGCAAGTCGTACGTTTCAGATGGCATGTCCACATACAAGCCTTTACCGCATGATTTTTGCAGTCCCCTACATTTGAAAGCTAAAGCCTCTGACTCCATGATGTAAGTGAGCTCGCTCTGTTCTTTTCCACTCCAGGGTATATAACCGTCCCCGACTCCTGTTTTAAGGTTACGAGAGAGGGTGGGTGGGACCCTCTCTCGTAACCTCAAGAGGGGTCGAGATCGGCAGTGCATAGGGCAGAGTATTCTAACTCCGCGTCCATCCGGATACAAGAAAGACCCCCCACGCCCTAACCTAGGCCGCACCTTTACAGTCTGCCACTACTCATGAATTATGCGGCCGCCCTGGACGAAGATTCCATTTTGAGTTGACTCGGTGATCCCGGCGCATAACAAGTTACAATGGGCATGGAAATAATATGAAGCTTTTGAATTTCTTTTACCAAGCTGAACGGGGCTTAGCAGAGGTGATTTTGCCTACTTTCTGCCAGCTTTCTTTCAACTTGAGCCGGCCAGGAAAGCGGCAGACGTAGTTTCGACATACGAGTCACAGTCGGCAAACGGTAACATCACATAGCTAGGGAACAGACGAACAATGAATATATGTGAGCAAGTACGTCTATGAGGTCTCCGTTCTCCGCTACTGAACGCACCGGGAGTCGCGACTCACGGGTCCTGAGCATAATCAGCTCATCAATATAGTTACCTTATGCTTTAATACTTACTAGGGAACGAGTCAGTTTAATCAGGTCAAGCGGCGACTTACGGCTATGGTCTGCCTGCTTTATTACGTCCGAATATTTAAACAACTCGACTGCCCTACCAAGCTGTTCTCCTCGTACCCAATACCGCAATACTTTTTACTCAAGAAAACATTGCTCGACACTTTTTACTATTTCATCTCCAGCATGAAGATCGTTATCCTCTTTCTCGCCGCGGCGCTCGGGTCTGCAAACCCTGTACGAACGCAAAACTCGATACAAGCTCTCGATGGGCAGAAGTCCTGTGATTGCTCTAAGCCTTTCCGAGTCTCTGTGCGGGAGATTTATAGCTGCCCGGCCGGCTACGAAGACGTCTCGGATACCTTTATCCCTAAATGCATTCAAATTGGTTGCGCTGCTGAGGATTACGAGGCTCAATGCGACGCCAAGCCTTAAGATGCAAAGCCTGCAACCAACAACCAACGCTGCACTTGTCAAGCGCCACCGCGAATCCAGAAACAGTGTCAAATCAAGTCGCTCATTCCAAGGGCCTACGTCCTATTTCACCGACTGAACTCAGGCGCGATACACGGCTCGCGTCCTGAAAGTGAACCACGGACTCATGGACACTACTTTTCTGACTTCTCTCGAGATAGATCTAAGGTTTTAACCTTCAATTCAACTACTGCTTTCAACTACAAATATATTCGCGACGCAATGTCTCAAAACGTGCTCTTTGACAAGGGATCATCAGTAAACCGGCCACAATATTATAGACTTTGATTGAACCTAAAGCTGAACCATCTGTAAGTGGCAAAAAGCTAGGGCGTAAGGGGTAATACGTACATGATACAATGTGGCGGTGGCTGGGCTAGCCGGCTCTTGAAAGTGATTCTCTACGGCAGGGTCAGGCATCTATCGGATATATAGATTTGAATGCCAAGGCACGACGTTCAAATCGAATGCAACCCGTATTGCAAAACATCAAGCGCCAGCCAACTGAGTACCGAGAACGACCCTTGGTGTGCCATCCACTTTTTGGACTGGGTCATCCGTCTCCTGAGTCTCCAGCCGCATGAACCTGTCAGCAGCTGCCGACGTCGTTGCAGGGCGCACGGTAGATGGCTCGCAGGAGCCATGTGGCATCAGTCGGCGGTACCACCTTTCAATCTATCCGGATTGCCCTGTCTTGGCATCTCGTACCCGCACTACTGTGCCCTGTCAAATTAGGCCGAATAACAACTACACGGGAGGGTGTGCGTATTAATCAATAAATAGTATTACTAGCTAGGTAGCCCCCTTTTCTTCTTTTTCTTCCCTTCTCAACAGTCG